GAGTGCCGGCAGAGATTGGGTTGGGTGAAAAAAATCCAGTGCAAAAGAGAAACCCCGATAAAAAAAGCCTAAAAACACGCCAAAAAATAAGCCCAAACCCAAACCTGTGCTTGGAGAGTACCATTTTGCCTGCACGTGCAAAAGGAGTCTGATGGAGACTACCCTGTCACACATAGCCGAATATGGCTGCGGAACTCCCCCAAAACAGTCAGAGTAGGTCGGGAGCAAGGTCGGCTCACGGTGGTTGGCTGGTGTTCGGCGAGGTCGGCTACTGTTCGGTTGCGTCAGGTGAACGTTTCAAAATTAAACATTCGGGTGTGGAAGGGAGGTTCGGACATGGTTGGGTAGTGGTTGCCTGGGGTTCGCAAGAGTGCGTCAGCAGGGTCAAATTTGACTCAAATTTAATTCAAATTTGATTCGTATAAAATGGTACACATGGCCTGATCTGGTCAGACTGCCCCCAAACTTCAGCCAACCTTCAATGGTTGGTTGGAGGTCGGGGGAAGGTTCTGTATGTGTGACAGGGGCTTTCCTACTCTCTAAGCAGAAGTTTGGGTTTTGGCTTATTTTTGGCGTGTTTCAGTAGGCTTTTTTTGTCGGGCTATCTTTTTATTTGCACTGGAATTTTTTTTACGCCAACCCAACATGGGTTCGGTTGGGTCGGTGTAAATAAAAGGAACCCCGATAAAATAAGCCTAAAACACGCCAAAAATAACCCAAACCTCTGCTTGGAGAGTAGGGCTTTCCCCGCTCGCCAGGCGACAACGTGAAGAGCGGTAGGAATTTAAATGCGTCACGTGATATAACGTGATAACGAACTGACGACCTGGAACACATAGGGTCGTCTGGAAAAAAAAACTGTTCACCAGTCAATATGCATCAACGTTGCAACACTATAGTATAGGAGCATCTGGGCCAATACAGCAAAATACACTGATAAACACATTGTAGATGGCTCTAATAACTTGGTAACAAACACGTAGCAGCTACATAGTGCATACACAGGCCAGATAGCTTTTACATGTAGACAGCTTTGTCACATATATTACGCTTGTTAGATTAGTAACACAGACCGTCTCTGTATTTGAAATAATTCCCTGCTTTGTATGAATTGTATACCTCACGTAAAAGCTAAATGATCATTGTAAAAAAAACGTTGTTGCTGTATATTGTATATTGTCCAATTACCAGGGCTAGCCCTTTAAAATAGCCTCCGGCTATTTGGGCAGTCCAGTTAGGCTTTATGTCATTTCATACACCCAAATAAATCAAATAAAATAAAATCAATGTTTTGACTACACATTGCAACTGAATTGTTCGAAATATTTGCAATCATAGATTAGCCTATTACATAGATTATATATAATATTTATATTATGTAGATTAGCCCATCATATCATATTAACCGGTGACAGCTTGGCATCCAGTGCAGTTTTTAGGGCTTGGAATCCCGATTTTTCAAAGTCAATGTTCTAGTTGCTATCTACATACTGAGTTGAAACCACACTATCCCAATGTATATTGACCCTCATGGAGCAAAAATTCCCAGAATTCTGACGGAAAATGTAACTAGAAAGGCCCTTGGCTGATTTTTTTGGTACCTCCCAGAAAAAAAGGACTCATCTTGGGGCTTGTTTCTGCAGTTGTAAAAGCCCAAGGTATGAAATACTGACTCAAATGTGCTGATGTGAAGCAGTATGTGTGAATATGACGAAGATTGTCTTATTCAGAATATTTCCATTTTTGCTGCCATGAAATCGCACTGGATGCCTTTAACTGACCACTTGTGTTGGTGGATTCTCGGTGCCCTGACCAGGGTAGAGACCCGGCATGCATGTTTACAGGTGGTCGGGTTAGTCACGGTCAGCTGTCCTGTACGCTGTGTAAGGACGCACCAGATTGGCCAATTCTGTCAGCTTCAGAAGCAGCATACACTATGCACAAACGTTACTTTGTCTAGGGATCGAAAGCGTACGATGAAGAAAAAAAGGCAAAAAAAGGGCTCTAGACGTCCAAAACATTTTGTTGTTGTGTTGAAGGAACTTACAACTACGTTTTTGTACAGTTATATATAGTAACAACAGTTCGCCCAGTCTGTGCCCAATCTAAATCCTGTCCAGCTTAGTAGACTGGAAGCAAAGCCCAGCTTGACTCCAAGCAGATATTTTGGTGAATATGTAGTATCCATTTTCCAGGCAATATCGATTTGCCAGGCAGTTACAATTTAGATGACGTTTTCTTTTGTACTGAAAAAAAGTTGCCAGTATAAAAAAAGAAAGCCCGATAAATACACCTAAAAATACCTAAGAAATACGTCTAAACCTGTGCTTGGAGAGTATAGCCTCTACCAGGCTTCGGGAAACGGCTGGAAAGAGTAGGAATCGGTCAAATAGAGAGATAACATGCCGAGGGAGTTGATCCGCTAGAAGACCATTTTGCCGCTCCCGAAGCCTGTGCGGAGTCGCCATATCTTTTATAGTACCATTTGACCGTAGCGACTCCGCACAGGCTTCGGGAGCGTCAAAATGTTCTCTCCAGCAGACCAAACTCCCTCGGCATGTCATCTCTCTATTTGACCGATTCCTACTCTTTCCAGCCGTCTCCCGAAGCCTGGTAGAGGCTAGAAGAGTAGCCCAATCTGTCAGCCCGTCGCCCGTCTGTCTGGCTCACATGAAGTTTATATTGTTCCATCCTTGTGTTTTGTCCATAGAGCGGCACTGTCCCACACGTCATGGTAAATCTGCCTGCACAATCAATTCTCCATAACCGCCGATCGGAACGGAGTCCGCTTTATAAAACGGCGTCAAAACTATCAGACCAGTGGCTTCAGCTTTTTTTAGTTGTCATGCAGTTGACACATGTTGTTCACCAAACAGTAGTTGAGGCTTTGGATTATTTTTGACGCTTTTTAGAAGTCTTTTAATATCGGGCTTTTTGTTTTTGCCCGGCCTGTCTCGCAATTTGATACTGTATGTTAGCCTCCGAAAGATCTGCTTGGAGATTTTACATGGTGTTCTGAAATCCAGACTTTGCGTAGTAAAACGTTTTTTACTTCCTCCTTCTTGCTATCATTTTCTTTCCATCAATTTTGCTTGCACTCTATTTTTCTTTCATTTTTTTCGCATTCTATCTTTTTTCTAGCACAGTCTTTCCCTCTAGATTACTCTGTATTTTTTCCAGTACCAAATATTTAATTGGCATTGCGTCGTAATGTTATACAGTGTGTATACGGCCTGCGGTACTAGCCTCCGTAGCAGGCTTATAGAACTGGTGGGGGTTTGGTGGTCTTCGGTTGTTTTCTGATCAGTCCAGTTTTTAAAAACGGGGGTAATTCAACCAGGCCGGCTATGTTGTCTATATGCAATCAGAAAATAGCACATAAAAGATCCTGAAGACCCCCAGTTTTGGCATGCTATGGAGGCTACTGCGGTACGTACTCCCAGCCATGTAACATCATATATGATTTAAAGCCACACTATGAATGACTAAATCTCTTCCACACAATATTGCCGCCGGTCTTGCTACAAGCTGCTGTAAGCCACGCAGATGACGGCACAAAAACGGGAGACTTTTCAATCTCTGAGCTCATTGTGCTCCGCCCGATTGTTCTCCCAGCTTTTGTAATGCGCTTAACCTAGTGGAGTATGAAACGGGTGTTTTGGAGAAGATTGGGCAAAGGGGGTGGGGGGCAAAACCGTAAGCACAATACTAGTAATAGAAGGGATACTATTACTATAACCAACGGTATTTATATAGATTTTAGCTCAAGATTTTAGCCTAAACATTTTAGCTCAAGATTTTAGCCTAACTAAGATTTTAGCTCAAGATTTTAGCTTAAAAATCTTAGCCTAAAATGTTAGGCTATAGTAAAGTACTAAAGGTTTGGGTAAAGGAATACTAGTACTACTATAACCAATGAAATTTGATTTTATAGCCATAGATTTTAGGCCAGAAATTTGAGAAAAAGGAATACTATAGTATAACCGACCGTATGTCATGTTGATTTTAGCTAAAGAATTTAGCCTAAAATCGGCTAAAGATTTGAGGGAAGGAATACTACAGTATAACCGACAGTATATCGTATAGGTTTTATCTTAAGATTTAATTTTAGCCTATAATCTTAGGCTAAAGATTTGAGGTGGGATAGTATAACCGACTGTACATCATCTATATTTTAGCTAACATTTTAGCCTAAGACCTTACGTTAAAGATTTTGGCCCTCCCATACGCATTATAGTACACATGTCATACTCAATCCATATCGGTGTTTATAATATCAGAAATGTCAATGCAATATTAACACAGCCAATTTATCAGCTAATCAACCAACCACTAAGATAATAAAGCGATCAATCAGTCATCAAAAGAGTCCACCAATTAGGAAATAAATAGCTTCTTATGCAGGGAAAATGCCTTCTGTTTTTATTAATGATCTGGCATGTCAATTTTAGATTGATCTGCAGGATTGTTATTTAAAAGAAAGGCACTAAAATTCCTCCAAGGTACATGCTTTATAATTTATAGTAAAAGCACAAATGTTTTATAGTAAGAATTTCTTACTCAAGTTTTGGAGCCAAAAGTCACATGAGGTCACATGCGCCTCTGAATGAGAACAACTACTAGTAACAGTCATCTTTGACTGTGATGATTTGGAACATGGAACCATTCAGAACGTTTTTTCCTGGTTTTACACATTTTATTGTTGCTCTCCAAGATTTCATTTAAAAATTCATTTACAGAATTATTGTATATATGCATTCACTGATCATTTAGAACGTTGCATGTTTAACCTCCATGTCTGATATCATCGCCATGAAATCTAAAATGAGACATTTTTTTTTTGTTTTCTTAAAATTAGTGTTGGTCATACTTCTCTATTTATACAGGAAAACAACAGGAAAACAATATATATATATAAAAATAAGAGGGAAAATAATATATTTCATCCGTACCATGGTATGGACTGAAACATAACAATATTTTCCTTGTGTACTCACCAGGATTGATATGCTGACGGACGGAGTACGCGACTTCGCCCTGAAGTTTCTCCGGGTTCCGTTCCTGGCCGACCCGACGGAACACCTCTCCGGAATCCGGAACACTGACCTGCCCCGCTACCTCCCAGTCTACAGCAAGGTGGGTAAAAAAATCCAAGACGTCAGAGTTCTCCTTTAAGTGTCCCCTGAAGTCTCCTTAAGTGTTTCTGCGTGAGGCCTTGTTGTGTATCTGAAGGCGTGTGAACTGTGAACGTACCACCAGTCCGACCAAATCGGATATGCGGGGAAAACAGTATTGATGGCCGCCTACAATGGCCGCCTGGCTCACGGGGACCGAACAGCGGGAAGCACCCTTTCTCAGGCAAATACCGAGCCGATTGTGACGAGAAGGCCCCCCTTTTGTTGTCCCGAGGAGCCGTTTTCTTCACTCATGAAAGCCCAGCGTGTCCAATTCACTTACTCCGCGCATCCCGTCACCAAGGCGACGGCCCCCGTATGCCTACCCCCCTTTCTTACGACCGACGCACGTCTGAAAGAGAACACAAAGCGATTAGGCCGCGGAGGCTATTCTCTGCCTTAACAAGTACGCCCAATATTTTACTTGTTACCAAACAGTTCGAGTGCCCCTGTGCAAAGAGAGCGGGACAATGGGAACAGAACAGTTGGTTCTCGGTGATAAGCGCGGCTGGCAGAATAATGAGACGGAAAAAATGGCGTTCATTAACAGTAATGAGATCTCACAGGCCCGACAGTTTATACCTGTAGTCTGTTATTATGATGTTGGGTGGCGGCATCAATCTAAAATAATATTTTCATTCGAATTTCTTGTGTGTGCTTTTTTCATGTTTACTGATCTACATGCATTTCTAGTGCAGAACACGTTTTATTGTCTTCCAAAGCTAAAACTATATTTTTGCTCGAATTTCTTGTGTTTTTTCTATGTTTAGTCATGGAGGTAGAAAAAAAGAAAAGTGATCTACGTACGTATACCTTTCGATTGTAGAACACTTTTTGTTCTCTTCAAAAGCTTTCGATTAATCTACGAATGCACATGTAAATATATGACTGATCTAGCTGAATTTTGCGTGCTTCTTGTAATTGCGTGTCAGAATGTAAAGCAAGGAATCGTGATTTTTTGACAATCAGTTTTGTAGATGGCTGCTATACTCTGTTTCTCAGACGAACGAAAAGGAGAGCTTTCCACACAAGAAAATATAAACTCACCCCTTCCACCTACAAAATTATCTCTCTACCCTATGAACCTAACCGTGACTAAGCTGATCTGTAAGTTATTTCCCACTAGACTGAGCAGCAATTAAAATTCAGCGACTCTAAATCTGCTCTAGACAAGATAGGAAAGATTAGGAAGGCGACTGACAAATTTGAAGTTGTTGCAATCAGAACAAAACATTTCTCTGGAGACCGGATCTGGGCGGTTCACACGGTTAACACACGGAGGATCGTGAATTTTGATTGGCTGCGATTATAACCAATCATCTCTCCCGAGAGATGATGATATCAGATTATGTTTACTAAGTACAGGTTTGCTGTGGCTGATAAGGGGATATAATAGGTAGGCCCACGGTTTAACAACTATTTTTTATTTTATTTTCATGCTTGAGTCATATGGGAAAATATTCAGGTGTAGTCATTCCCAAATCCCGATTGACAGTCACACAGATTTAATCTGTATAGTACTGTAGACAAGGAAATGAGTCCCAAAGCATGGCGTATACAGGCTGCAGTTATCAATACGGATTGTAGGTGGCGCTGTTGAGAACACGTTGGCGACAGTGCAAGCAAGAAGTGAAGTTCCTTTTTGACACATTTGATCATCAAATTTGAAGTGTAATTTTGTCATGTGCGTTTAAACAAATGTGATTATGTAGTTTAAGTCAACCAATTACTACAAAAAAATTACCACAAAGTCACGGCATTGTAGGAAAGACTTTACTTTTTATTTATTAAAAGCATACATACAAATAATACATTCCAGAATCTAAACCTATATTTCATAAAAAATGGCATATTTCCTAGATAGACGATACCTGTGTGGAAAAATTCAAATGTCTTATAAAGACATACATTTCTTGTCATTGCTAAATCGACAAGTTTAGTACTATCTTCTCGATACTATAAAATTAAATGAAATTATTTTTTTCTAACATAACAATACCTCTGTACAATTGTCTTATAATTGTCATTGCAACATCGACAATTTTGAATATTACTTCCTCTATATAATGATAATATCTAAATATAAAATTATTTTCCTAACATAACAATACCTCTGTACAAGTGCCTAATAAAGACGTACTTTTCTTGTCATTGCTTAATTGACAAGTTTGAGTGCTACATCCTCGATATAATAGTATATAAATATGAAATTAATTTTTCCTATCGTAACAAATGATTAAACAATACCTCTGTAAAATTGTCTTATAAAGACGTACATATCTTGTCATTGCTACATTGACAAGTTTGAGTACTACATCCTCGATACAATAATATCTAAATATGAAATTATTTTTCCTAACAGAACAATACCTCTGTCTGTACAAAAATACACTTCTTGTCATTGCTACATTGACAAGGTTGTACTACTTTCTCAATATCTAAATATGAAATCAATTTTTCCTAACATAACAATAACTTTATACAATTGTCTTATAAAGACGTACATTTCTTGCCATTGCCACATTGACAAGTTTGAATATTACTTCCTCGATACAATAATACTATTTAAGTATGAAATAATTTTCCTAACATAACAATAACTCTGTAGAAGTGTCTTATAAAGACGTACATATCTTGCCATTGCTACATTGACAAGCTTAAATATTACTTTTACGTTACAATAATGAAACATATTTTACGTTGACAAGTTTGAATATAATTACAGAATATAATGATATAGATATGAGATACATATTTCCTAACGAAGCAATTGGCCAAAGATGCTATCCGTAAATAATAGACTTAGGCTAGTTAACAGGAAAATAACATGAACATATAGATTAAATTGTCTTATAAAGACATACGTTTCTTGTCAAGTACCTTGACAAGTTTGAAAATAAATCATGGATTAAGATATGAAATATATGTATAAAATATTAGTAATGTCAAATATTAGTAATGGTCTCATATTTCATAAATGTTTCCATGACATAACTGTGCAGATGGTAGATAGCTTTTGCATTTTAAACCCTTTCTACATCTATGGAGGCTAATATACGTATATGAAAACATGGCTATGGCCCGTAACATTGTCACTACTACTAAGTAAATCTCTTGAATACATGATAGTACATGTGTACTAGCATTTCTTAATCTCCAAGCAGATCCTACGGTGGCAAGGCAGTATCCATTGCACACCGTAGTATCGTAATTTCCAAGCAGATGTTGAAAGAAATGACAGTTTCCGCCTTGCGTGTCAGAAAAAAAAAACACGTGGCAGTCAGAAAACGTGATCTTCCCTCCCAACATCTGCTTGGAAATTTCTTACCCACACCTGGCACATGACGTCATGCACAGCCCTGTGACGTAATCGCCCAGCCTTCCCATGAAGCCCCGGTACTTGAACATGACCAGTGCGGAGTGAAACTGGCGGTCACGGGACCAGGGTAGGGTCTTGTGTGTGCTCGTCTGGTCGTCTGGGTTACCGATATCGTCACAGTGCATATTCTTTGCCTGAGAATAGAATAATGATAAGGCACATTTAGATCGAGTCACGTGGACATTATGCTTCACTGGGCACTGTAAGAATATTGGACACCGAATAAGACTACTTCCTGAGAGGGGTGAAAGAGACTATTCATATCAGGGCCCATCACCCTTCACTCAACCGGGACGGGGGCCGACATCGTCTACCAGATACCTTTGACCCAGTGTTGACGTCACACTTCAAAGAAGACATGTGAGAAGTCTTACTGGGTCAGTCTACTGAGGAATCAAAAGTTTTAACTTAAAACAATAATGACAAGGTTAAAATATGCATAGTGTAACATTACGACGATACAAAAAGTCAATTATCTGGTAATTTATTTTCAAAGTAATTTGAATCAACCCTTTTCCAGTAGTACCATTCAGGAAGTTGAGGTGTCAAAATATGACGTCTTACGAGTGTGTTTAAAAGCTTCAAACACAGCTATGTTTGCTTACGCATTCTTGTAGTCTATGGTGGTGTGACAAAATGAGTGCGCCTATTGAGGGCTGTTTTAGCAGCGCCAAAAATAGATATCACAAATTTGAGACGTTGAAAAGTGGAAGTAAAGTATAACACACGAATTATGCTTTTTGAAATAAAATATTTCAATTTTTTTGTGCAAAATGTTACATAATGCCCCTTTAAAGTATTGATTTTTTACCATAGTAGAACTTACCTAAGCAGATTTGAAGCCAGAAGATTTGAAAATCAAATTTTAACTATCTGAAATTGCTTCGGAATTTACATAGACGCTAGCCTGCTTCGCAGACTTTTGATTCGGCGGCGTTAATTTTTTCGGCGCGGGGAGCGACGCGAGTTATGCCGAGGGGAAACCGTCTCTCCCCGGCAAAGTCCCTCGGCGGCAAAACCGTCCCCGCGGCATAACTCGCGTCGCTCCCCGATAAAATTCAACGCCACCGCATCAGAAGTCTGCGAAGGAGGCTACATATACGCTGAGATAACGTTAGGTACTGACCGTCTGTCGGAGGCGGCTCAGTACCGCCTGTCCTGCCGCCCGTGCCCGGCGCACCTTCCCGGCGATGTGTGGGCGGCGCAGGGCCAGCTCGTCATACCGCACCGCCTCCAGCAACCTGTCGTACCTCACTAACATCTCCACAATGCCTGTCAGCCCGCTCTGAACGTCTGTCTCCTAAGCATAAAAGGACAGGAATTTGTGATGGTTGTTGCCTTTGATAAGAGCTTTGTTCGCGATTATGGTATGGTTTATTGACTTAACAGTGGCGGTCAAGTCGTGACAAGAAGGGCGGATTCGACCTGTAGAATTGACTCGTACAACGGAAGTAATTAGAACACTACTCAAACACAAATCCCTCTACTATTTTGGCCACAGCAAGTAAATTTTATGGATGACATTCTCCGCAGACTCCAAATCTAATGCGATAGGGTGACAAAAAAAGAAAGGCGAGCCCCCC